TGACACAGTTAAAATTGGTTGACTCTATGCGTCGTTGTTGTCGGTTAAGCAAATATTCTGCAATGCAAATTCATTGGTTTGGGAGTTGTGAATTAATTCGCACAGTTTGGATTTGGTGTATTTTTTTTATAAAAATTATTATTTAGGAGTGCAGGTTATTAGTTATAAATTATGTTGTCACACTTTTAATAGGATTGAGCATGTCAATATAATCTGAGTTAATCTCGTTGTAACTGTCTTAAATAACGGTTTCAAAAAATCCAACCAATGAATTTTCTTCCTACACTTAATATTTCATTAATAAACACTTTAATCTGGAGAATTTGAAAAACTAACAGTAGAAAATTTGTTATTTATCGCTAAAATTGTTAAGATATATCTACAAACTTATACTCTTGAATAATTATGTTTAAAGTTATTTTAATTGAGTTTTGTGGACTAATTTGATTATAGCAGTACCTAAAACGAAAAAAAAAGATAGTTTTGAAAGACCAAAAAACTGTCTGTTATTATTAATCTTGAATAATTAAAATATTTTTGGATGAAATCTGAATAAAATAGAAGCATGTCAACAACAATACCATAAAATTTATTTTGAAATGTCAATTTAGCGAATTCTGAGTGGTTATGAGACGAGAGTTTTTTGCTGAAGTCAGCTGTTTTTTATTTGATATTCTAATAGTCTGCTTATTTCGATTTTCTAGGATCTTATGTTGTCACAAAACCTATAGCAACGCTTTATTGACATATAGCATTTCTAATCTACTTTAATATTTAATAAAAATTTTTGGAGTGGATATATTTTGCTTAATTTTAATTATTCGTTATTATGTAGGCTTACTTTATTACTTTTATGATTAATGTTTATCTGTATAAATTTTTTAAAATCGGTTCGTTTGTTCGGTTTTAATTTAGTTGATACAATGTATACAGTTTGATTTGATTGGATACATTAAATGATTAAATAATTTTAAACTATCAGACCCAATCCATTTTGTTCTGTAAATATAGGATCATCATCTTACCCTCATCTCAATCTGACAACTATATTAAATGATCTTAAATAAAATTAAATAAAAAAAATTTGTAATAATAATAATTACACTGCAAAACAATCAAATATTCAATAGAATAGGTTTTAAATAAATTAAATATTTTAAAAATTTAATAGAATAAGTAATACACCACTGAAATGTTTAAAACAAATTTAAATTCAGATAATTCACCATCATAGTAAAAATTATTTCCATGTTACAATATAATATGACAACCAAATATAATAATATTATTATAACAAAATAAAAATTACGAAAAATAAATATATAATATGAAGTTATAATACCGCTGGGGCTTGTTGTGATTGGTTGGGGTTAAAATGCCATCATCGTAGGTGTACAGTTGCAAACGACCTTGGGATGGGTGTCATAATTTTTTTATTCATAATAAAAAAATTATTTATATTTTATTGTAATTAATTATAATTTTAAAATATTGAAAAAATTATTTATATTTTATTTTAATTAATTATGAAATTAAAATAATTTAAAAATTATTTTAATTTTATTGCAATTAATTATAATTATAAAATAATATGGATATTCTTTTATAAAAAAATATTAGCAATGAGTTTTAATTAAATATTTTTATATTATTTCATTCATTCATTCATTCACTCACTGAAAACTTTTCACATTTAAATAATGATATTTTAAGAATTAAAATAATTTTCAACACTTCAATGTATAGTACAAAAAGTTCAATAGTTTTAGTCAATAAATAATATGCTGGGCTACTAAAAATACTTGATCTTTTGATAATTGATAATTCTTAAAATAAATTAAGATTTTAAATTTTTATAATATTTTTATTAAAAAAAATTCGCAATGTATGACAAGGAAAATGAAAAATAATGAAAAGGGTGCGTTATTTAATTGCAGAAAGAATGAATAAATATTTTTTAAAGAATTGCATTAAAGTGCAGCGCTACATCATGTTGGATGCCACATAAATTTCAATATACTTCCGCCTTCTAGGACCGTCCCGGTGCTTCCGCGTGCCGCTCTTTATCTACTTATTTGTGTTTATATGGTTTTATATCTTGTACGTGATTGTGTGTGTGCACGCACGGATGATGAGCGTACACAGACTCTCTGCTTGTCGCTCTGTGATTTTGAGTGTAATTTTAATTATACTTATATTTAATTATACGTAAATTTAACTTTAATTTTAAGTTTGTATTTGTTTGTTTTTTGTATTTGTGCTGTGTGTATTGTTTTTTGTATGTTCACATGTGAGTGTGATTCGATGCAGTTTGTTATGCACAGGCGTTCAACTCCAGACGCATGTTTTGCACCTTTGTTTATCAAAATCAGGGCTTCGAACCATAATTTTTTTCGGTTTTCGAATTTTTTTCGGTTTTCGAATTTTTTTCGGTTTTCGGTTTCGGTTCGACTAACAAAATATATTACGGTTCAGTTCCGATTTTTGTTCCAGATAAAATTTCGGTTCGGTTCCGTTTATCGGTTCAGTTCCGGGAAACGTTTTTGCCCATCAAAGTTATTAAATTTTGTAAATGGTCATCACAATCCTACTGGCGCAAATTTGTAAAGTAAAGAACACTTATAAAATGATGTAAAATTATTGATAAGAAGGCCAAATTAATTTTCAATTTTAATAAAAAATTTTAAATTAAAATTCCGTAACAAATAATTATGAATGCAATAATCACGAAACTTAGCGAAAAAAAATTAATTATCTTCCAGACATGAAATGAAAAGTAAATTTCTTTGACATTACGTGGTGGAGCGCGCTAATAAATTTGCGGGCAAATATATTCAATTAATTATATTTAATTGCGTTTTGGTAAATGTTGCCGGTATCGCGTGTATCGAATATTCTAGTTATTGACATATCATTCTTAATTAAATAAATAGAAGATTACAAATGATCAAAGATATTATACAAACATTGAAAAATAACAAAGACTTTTGAAAAATTATTTATAGAAGTGCTCGTTATAAAAAATATATTAACGGCTTCGAACCGAAACGTTATTTTTTTCGTTCCGGTTTTCGGTTTCGGTTCGGCAAGCAAAAAATATTTCGGTTCAGTTCCGAGTTTCGTTCCGGCTAAAATATCGGTTTTTTCCGGTTTTCGGTTTCAGTTCTGTTCCGGTTCGAAGCCCTGATCAAAATCATCTGCTTGTTTTCAAATTTGCGTGTGCGAATCAACGATTCATTTAGAAAATGTTTTTAAGTGGTTGAAATAATTTAACGTGCATGATTTCTGGCTTGTAAGTGACGTAGTTCTTTGCTTGTTTATTGAATCTGCCTATTTTGAATGCCGTTTTGAAGGCATTGATGCAAACAATTTGTTTGATGGAGTTAGTTGGTTGGATGGATGGATGGTTGAGCGTGAAACTTTCATTGTGGCTGCTGGTATAACTTTTGTTGTTTATTGTTATCGATGCGATAATGTGTGTGTGTATGTGTGAATTTGGTGTGTGTGTGTGTGTGTGTGTTGATGTTATGTTAGGTTAAATCGGTCTAGTGTTGTGTGCAAGGAGTTAATCGAGAAAATGATTTAGAGGACGAGGAAGAACTTGTGGTATGGATGGAGATTATTATTATTGTTGATGTGATTTTGATGATGCGGTTGGAGTGATTTAATTAAACCAAGTTCCAATTAATGTCATGAATCTGCTAATCTGCTACAGTCTGGTAATAGTATGCATTTTGTTAAAGTTTTGAATGTTGTTAATGTTTTGAATGTAGTTAATATTATAACGTGTGCCATCAAGTTATTGTTACCCATTTTTTAAAGTTTTTTTGTTATCGTTCTTGATGTCATTGTATAGTCTTCTTGATGTTATCATTGCATCAGTAGCATGCAAGAGAAGGGGGGAGCCTAGCGTCGTAAATATGTATTAATGCCATTAAATGGACAATCGCGAGGAGGCTTAAGTATATAATTCAATATAATTTATTGTCAGAAATAATGAAAGGAATTATATTCGTGCAATGATAAAATTTTATTATATTTATCATGCCTAGTAAAGAATTGAAATTAGAATCTAAAACATAAGACAACACAAATAAAAATTGGTGACAATAATGATGTCTGCAGTGTAACGAAATTCCCAAACTGAGAGAACATTCGAATGAAATTGCACTCCTTAGTCGCCCGAAATTATTTTGTGTTGGTCATTTTGAGAATATCTCCATCAAAGAAATCTGAAAAATTTTATTCTGCCATCATCAAACAAATAATGCAGTAAGGATCGGATCTCAACTATCTTTCTTAAAGAACACTTGTGTTTGTTTCAAAGCTTGAAGAATCAATGGCAGCAATTGTAATTACAGTCTTAAAAAAGGGTGGTGAACAACTTGACACCTATACTAAATGGCACTTTCATTTTTCCAAAGTTGTGCACTTATAATCGCATGTCAGCCTCTCGATTACCTCAACAACAATTCATAGTCGTCCAAAGTTTAATAAGGTTTTCGTCAAACCCATTCAAACGAAACGGCGATTCTTAACGTTGTTTCGGAAATTTATGATGCTGCTGTGGCTTTGTTGCGTTTTCGGATAACATTGAATTTGCAACGATGGTCTATGAAATCCATTTAAAGAGCTTTTCGGTGTTATGGATGACGTTTTGAAATTTTAGAAGAAGACATTTTCCCTTTCAGCTGAACAATCATAGAATGGGTTAACTATTGATTTTGAAAAAATTTGCACCGTACGGTCTTTATAAATCGTATTAAAATTCATTTGTTTAATTGTTTAATTGTTCAAAGAAGATGAGAATAGCTCCTCCGAAGTCAACACCCAAGAAGTGCTGTACAAATACATATACCTACAGCAGCGCAGTTACGATATAATTCATGATGAATAAATAAATATTGATAAATATAATTTTCAAATGATTATTAATAATAATAAATAATATAAAAAACGATGAAATTGTTTATAGAAAATAATTTAATATAACAATAGAACTAACGATCTGGGATGTTGGACCAGGCAGCAACATTAACGATGGAAACTGCTATGAAAACAACGACGAAGACAACAAGGGAGTTGTTCATAGCTGTTTTGTCGCTGTTGATGTTGCTGATGTTGTTGCTGTTGTTGATGTTGTTGCTGGTGATCGAATCTGTTGTTAATGCAGTTCAGTTGAGCTGATGTAATCTGAATGATAAAATATTAATTTAAATTTTTTTGGAAATTGGAAAGCCTGCTATCATGTTGTTGCGTTTGAGAATATTTTAAAATTTTCATCTGTTGTTGAAACAATTTGGTGCCTGGAAGCTTATTTGATTTTTTGATTTATTCAAAATTTTCACATTTGCAAGCAAAAGGTTTCAGTTTGCAATGTTTTGTTTTGGAATTGAATTTTTAATGAAATAAATATTTTTTTCATTTTAAAAAATCAGTAAATCTCTTGGAAATGTACGATATGCTGATGATAAAGCTCTTAATTCAATAGATAAATTGCAAACAATTGTTTCCAAACTGGTTTTTGAAAGTGAAAAGAAAGGCTTGAAAATTAACATCAACAAATCAGAGTGCATGGTTATCAGTAAAAGCAAAACCGCCCCGATCTGCTTCATAATCGTTAATGGTTAACAAGTGAAACAAGTCAACAGCTTCAATTATCTCGGAAGTCTGATTGCGTCAAGTTGTAAATGTGATATGGATATCAAACACAAGATAGCTATGGCAAAAGATGCCTATTCTAAATGAAAAACATCCTCACCAACAGTAAAATCAAAATATCAACAAAATTAAAACTGGTAGGGTGTTACATTTTTCCTGTGTTGACTTACGGTTCTGAGTCCTGAACAGTTTCTAAAGAAATAGAAAAAAGAATTAACGCTGCTGAAATTTGGGTTTTGAGAAGAATAATGAAAATTAGTTGGACTTATATTTCGAATAAAGATGTATTAAAACAGTCCGGTTATGAAAAGAGGAAATCACTACAGATAATCCGACGGGGGCAGTTCAAGTTTTTTGGTCACATCATGCGGAAGGAAAGAATGGATAATCTAACAACTACTGGAAAGGTTGCAGGGGAAACAGATCGTGGTCAACAACTAGGTCGATGGTCGCCAATGCCCTGAAAGGATAAGGCACGAGAAAAAAAAATTAAATAAATTTTTTTTTGTGATTTATAAAAAGTATTTCACTATTTTATTTTATTATTTTTATTATTAATGATGAAGACGGAATTTTCAATACTCCGTAGTTGATTTGATTATGATAAGTTATTACAATCATTGTAAAAATTAGCTGGATCATATTGCAACTAATTATCCAAATCATCGTTGTGACACGCGCACACAGACACACACGCACACACACACACATCTTCATCAACATCATCATTTTCTTCTTCTTCATCATCATATCAAAAAATCATCCACTGTTGTTAACCTAATTGTTCACATAATTGTTCTCATTATTGTTCATATAATTGTTCATAATATTGTTCATAATATTGTTCACTCCATGGTTTGCAAAAACCACGACATCAAAACAAAGAAATGAAAAAAATAATAACTTGAAATCAACCATACAAGACCAACACTATGAAGGAGAATTTGGAATTTTTTGCGCTTAGTATGAACAGTAAAACAAGTGGGACATAAATATAAGGACTTTAAAAAAGCTCGGGATTAATAAAACTAACATTTTTCAGCTGCAGAGTTGTCAACCAGTGTAAAGTGTAACAAACTGGAAGATGAAATAATATGCGTAGAAACAATTAATAACTTTAACTTTAAAGCAAACTTGGCAAAATAGGATATTTAAAAAAATAGTTTCAGAGTGGTCCGGCACCGTCTTCTTGGATCACTATAAAAAATCTTTGATATGTTATGTAACTATTCTATGAAATTTTTAAAATAACTGTTTAAGTTAAATAAATAATGACAATGGCAAAAGATTTCATATTAAATTAAAACAATTTGTTTTAATTTTTCAGTTACATGACTGTATATTTTTTTAAAAGTCGAACATCATTTTTTGAAATTATAAAAAAATACAGATTCAATTAATTTTTTTAATAATGGTCAAGAAATTGTCAAAAAGTAACCAAAAGTTGAAAAATTTTTTAGAATCACTTCGCAATTTGAAAATTTGAAAAACGCCAAAAGGCATTGTTTCTTTGAGTTCGCAGAAAATTAATAAAAGGGAATTCAAAAATTTTTATCAACTCTACTTTTGTAAGAAAATATTTTTTGTGCAGGCAAACATTTTGAAAATTTAAAATTGTAATAATTAAACTGAGCAATGAAATAATTGTACTAATGTATGCAAAAATTGAAGAAAGGTTAAAATAATTTTTAAATGCTAATTTCCAAAATGGTCAAAAGTTATTTCTACCTCAAGAAACTGAAGTTAAAATTGTGATACATAAAAAAACACTGAAAATACCGACCAAATTATATAAAACCTTTTCCAGTTATGAATTCTTTCTTTGGGATACTATTTTAGCAGATTACACACACCCACACACACACAAATTTAATCAGCTCGTTCATCCATTCATCATAAATCAATGTTTCCATTCATTCATCGTTTTCCTTCCATCCATCCATTCATCCATCCATTCCTTCTCTTACATTCATTCATTCATTCATTCATTCATTCATTCATTTATCCATCCATTATTCATTCATTTATTTACTCACTCATTCATTCATCCAACCGACCGACCAACCACCGATACAATTCAGTTACTCAATAAATAAGCAGTGCCACATAAATACATTCCTGCAGATCTTACCACTCGGACCAGACCATGTTTAGACACGAATCATTAACAGAGATTTAAACATCTAATGTGTTCTTTCTGTTTATATGTTTGTCCTGTGTTTATGTTCATTCTGTTCATATGTTTTTTATGTTTAAAAGTTTGTTTTGTTTACATGTTCATTCTGTGTTTACGTTTGTTCTGTTTAGATGTTTGCTTTGTTTATGTTTGTTTGGTTTACGTTTGATCCGTTAATATGTTTGTATTTTTTATGTTTTGTTTTTGTTTGTTTTCAATGGTTTTGTTTGTTGTCAATCGCTATTTTCGGTTTGTTATTAACGTTGTAGTTAACGCTGTCTATTAAGTCGTCCCAACTGTTTCTGCTCATCAAAGTGCTTTATTCTTTAGCTTTGTCTATGTTTCGTTTATATTCCATGTATTGCAGTTAATTTTATTTTTGCAATTCAAAATAATGTATGCAACTTTTTTGTGTTTTATGCAAACTACATTTTGTTTGGTATTTTGTTGTAAAGTTTTCTTTGATTTGTTTAGTTTTACAAATTATTTTTTGAATGTTAAAATTAAATGTTTATATATGCTAAATTTTTATTCACCCACCCCCACACTTCACGTCACTTAAATAGACAATTTTTATTCTAGGAAGCATTAATAAATACTTTCAAGCTGCTCAAGAATTCACGACCAGTTGAATGAAGATGGCAGACGAACGATCGTTAAAATAAACAAAAATAAAGAAAATGGAAGCAAAAAATACATATACACATGAAGAAACAAACAAAGAAATAAATGGAAAAGCAAGCAAATGAAAGAGCAAACAAATAAAATTAAACAAAAAAGCAACAAACTAACTAAAAAATAAACAATTGAACTAACAAAAGAATGAACCAATGAACAGATAAATGATTAGAAAACGAACGAACAAAAACAAGCAAACAAAACAAATGAACAAACGAACAAATGAAAGAGCAAACGAGTAAACGGGTGGAAAGCTTTTGTTTTTATTTCAACAGGTCAGCCAATCTTGCTTCATGAATAATAAACAACCCTCCCTCCTCGTCCATCTATCCTTGCTCATTGTACACTTCTTACATACACAAATGAACGAGTGTTACATTTACTTTCTGATAAATAAATTCATAAATAAAGGATTAAATACTGATAAAACGCCTTCTTAAAATATATACAACACTATTCTTATTTTGAACTCAACCCTTGAAACACATTGAATGACAAAACATCCCCATAAAAACGAAAATGATAAAAATTAGCATGCATATATTTGTGCTTGCTATATATTTTTTTTACAAAATATTATATACAAAGCAGTTAGTTGCTACCATCAGGCATACAAATAAAGTTTGCATAAACAAAGACATTATAAACTCTTAAAAAGATAAAAATTTTGACCACCACAACCTACAGCAGCCCAAGAAGAAGAAATAACTCAGAAACATAAGAGTGTTGCACATACTAAAGTTATATTTCTCTGTATCGAATGACGAAAAGTTCGTTCATGTACAACACCTCAGATACGTCTAATGAAGACCGCCCTGCAGTTACAGAGTCATATGTGATACATACAAACTACATCAGGTGTGATACATACAAACTACATCAGATGTGATACATACAAACTACATCAGATGTGATACATACAAACTACATCAGATGTGATACATACAAACTACATCAGGTGTGATACATACAAACTACATCAGATGTGATACATACAAACTACATCAGATGTGATACATACAAACTACATCAGATGTGATACATACAAACTACATCAGATGTGATACATACAAACTACATCAGATGTGATACATACAAACTACATCAGATGTGATACATACAAACTACATCAGATGTGATACATACAAACTACATCAGATGTGATACATACAAACTACATCAGATGTGATACATACAAACTACATCAGATGTGATACATACAAACTACATCAGGTGTGATACATACAAACTACATCAGATGTGATACATACAAAATACATCAGAAACTCCTCACGTCCGCGTATTACATGCATATTGGAATCAAAAGTTTCAGTCAGTTCTTACTTTAATTTCCTCATCAAGTACCGCAGGGCAGCAAGCTCTCAAAAAGGTCTCTGGCATTGGTGTGAGAATTCTACAGCCTGAGCACCTCGTTCGGAACATTTTTTAGAGAATGAACTTGGACTGAAGCTATTTAAACACTGGAAATACTGGAATGAAGATTTTGAACAAAATTACATTTCAATAATTTACCCAGAAAGATCAAATAAGGTGCAGCAGATACGATCAAACCTCGATCCCTCAAAAATAATTCTAGCAGCCAGATTTTGAATCTACTTCACTTGACCAATTTGTTGAAAAGTTCATAAAGAATGCTACTACATCAATTTAGGTTGCAGCGAGCAAACCAATGAGCAAAACATTTCAAGGTTTCCTAATCATTTGACCTTTTAACGGTCCATTCCAGTCTGCAAATTTAAGGACAACATTTTTTGGTCAATGTCCTGATGTGTTGGTCCCAGTTCGATCGAATGTGATGCTTACTTTTTAATGGAGTGCTTAATTCTACCATTGAACCGGAGATGATCACAATTTGATGCGAATATTCTGTAGCTATTGCCAAATTTTGATGTTATTTTTTCATCCATTCGCAAAGTTTGTTAAAACAAAAAACAACGTTGTCAGTCAACATTCAAAAATAAGAACTGCATTATATATATTATGTGTGCGTGTATGTGCGCGCGTGCGTGTGTTATGTGTGTGAGTGGGTGGATGGGTAGGCGTATAGGAATGTGTATATGTGTCTCTGAGTGTGTGTATATATATATATATATATATATATATATACTGTATAATACTTAGTAGTATTATTTGCAAAGTAATACAGAAGATGTCGTGTCATTCTTGCTTACATTCATGGAGGAAACATCGTCCACATGAGGTAATTGCATTATCCTGCTTGCATTATCTTCGCGTCATTCTCGTTGTCGTCGTACCTTCGAACGCCGTCGTAGATTTTAATACTGTTGTAAACTTTAATGGTGTTATTGTTGTTGCGGTTTTCGGGGTACCAAATTTTTTTTATGGTGTTTTACGTTTAGATGCAAAATTATTACTCAAACATTTTTCACGCAGAGTTTGTTCGGCTGTGTTCGTTTTTTGTCTTCTTTTAAAAGCCCATTCAATTGTTTCAATGAATATTTGTTTACATACGTTCATTTTACAGATCGCATGCATTTGATTTAAACGTTCGAATCTTTGTTTTTGTTTGATCATTTGCATGTCTGCTTCATAGTGCTACGTGTTCACAGCGCCTGTTTGAGTGCCAGGCTGCACTCTGCATCTTGTACGTTAGTTAATTTGCATGCAAGCTTCCAAGTCCATTAGTATCAATAATTTATTCCATCGCTCAAAAGTTTTTCTGCTCCAAAATAAAATTTTTTCAACTGTGGCTGATTTTTAACTGAATTTTGAAACAGGATCAATCATACTGAGAAAGGAGATTGTTTCTTTCCTTTGGAGTTCTTTTCACAGTAAAATTTATTTTTCACGTTTCTGCCTCGTCAGTTCAGCATTCAACATTTGTTGCTACATCGCCTACAGACATTTTTTGCCACATCAAGTTTTTAAATTTTGAACAAAATTTTGAGCGAACAGCAAAAGTTGAACTGCCATGTTTGAAAGTATAACCAGCATAAATCATTTCCCTTCCATTAAAATATTTGAATGGAAATATTTCAAATTTGAAATGAATTTTTTTGTTCAAAATTGTTTTGTGCCTTTTGCGGAAATTAAACAAAGCAGAAGCAAAGTGATGTTAATAACAAACTTGAAATTATAAATTTAAAAATTGGGGAAAACGTTGAAGTTTCGTAAAGAAGTTATGAAATGCTCGGAATCATCTTCATTGCTGGAAACGTAGGTGTTGAACAACTTTAATTAAATTTCAAATCCCAAAATTAATTTTGTAATCAGCGGGTAAAATTAATTATGTCATATTTTATAAAAAAAAAAATACATGATTAATCAAAAATCACGAGTAAAAAATTTTGATTAAAAATCATGAGTAAATAATTTTACATACACCTTTCCAAATAGGCGTTAATAAAGGAATTACAATCCAATCTTTCTCGAAATTCAAAATCCACGTTCTAGAAAAACCTTTAAACGCCAACAAATGATTGAAATCAAATCCAACGTCAACAACATCCAACGGAAAGAAAAACGTTCAGCAGTGTTATTAAAGTTTACACAGTTGAAAATTAGTTGAAACATCTTTTAATGAAAAAAAATTAATTTCCGTCAGCAACCGATTGAAGCTGCTTTGAAACGTACACAGTTTAAAAATCTGCAAAACTTCTCAGCCTCAAGCATCCAGACACAAATTCTTCAACTTATTATACCAGCAAGTAAACGTTTCCACAAAAAAATTAAATGACACTATTCAATTCAATTCATATTATCACGTTCATCTGTTTATTTATATTATAAACTGGCTTCCAAAGAATAATTTTTTGCGCATTGTTTTTAACAAAAATGATATTTTTTCAGCTTGTATATCAGGCCACCAAATTAAATTAATTTTGAAAGGAGAAACTTTCTATACAATCGTTTAAATGTGCATCTGGTTCTAGATGAATTAATTTACGACTCATGTTGCTACAAATGAGATTTATTCATACAATTACTTACATAAGAAAACTTCTGGAATGAAGAAAGAAATCGTGGAATGAACAAAGACATTTTTTAAATTAAACACGAAAGAAAAAACGTTTTGAGAAATTTATTCACTGACTAATTAATTTGATAACCGTTATTTAAATAAAACAACAGAAACTAACCAGTTCGAATTGGACAAAACTGAAAACCGATGCGACCGGGGGGGTTTGTTGTCGGGTGAATGAATGAATATACGGATGGATGGATGTTTGGATGGATGGATGGAAAGAATTCACGCAATGTCTTCAAACGGGATGAAGATTTTTGATGCTGTATCAGCTGTTTCGATGTTCTT